CGTCGAGAATATCCGGAAAAGGATAATTGCTAAAGCTCCTAGCGCTACGACATATTAGGCTTTGGTTGGTTGGATTATAGAAGCTTCTTTTTTATTTGTTCAAGTAACTTGATAACTGTTTTAAAATCTGCCAATGCAGGAAATAGAATTTTTTCGGCCGTTACTCTACGTTTGCTATTTTCCAACGTAAGGGAAGTTGGCAGCAGATTTCTATATTTTCGCCTAACGTTTTTTATTAAAGCTGTGCCATCTTTGGAAATAAGTGTGCCAGATAGAACTCGACGAGCTCTATCGAATGCCAAAATCCGCTTTCAAAAATATTGATTCCTTGAGTTTTAAAATGACAAATACTGATTTTCTCAACCAGACGAAAACTCAAACTTTTGTATTTTTGCCTAACATTTTTTATTAAAGCTGTGCCATCTTTGGAAATAAGTGTGCCAGATAGAACTCCACGAGCTCTATCGAATGGCAAAATCAGTTTTCAAGAATCTTGTTTGCTTCGCTTTTAAAATGACAAATACTGATTTTCTCAACGAGACGAAAACTCAAACTTTTGTATTTGCGCCTAACATTTTTTATTAAAGCTGTGCCATCTAATTGCTGGGGCTGAGTGATTTCAATATTGTTAGATGGTGTTTTCTTTCTGCATACTTTAAACTTGAATAAAAAAGTAATTGTGGTTGCGACTAGAATAAGAACAACAATAACGGCCACAGTGCCAGCCACAATTAATGTTGCAGAATAATATACTTTATGCCATGTCTTTATTTTAATATTTGAATTATCGGTGGATGAAATCTGTTCCACATAATGCATTATATCATCAATACCTGAATTAATAAACCGCAGTTTTATGCCATCTGAGTCATTAATATATTTCTGAATGTTAAACACATCAATATCCGGCCGTGTCAACGTATCATTTTGAAGTATAACAAGACTACTGTTTGAGGTACCGACAGGAGTACCATATAAATTAAATTGTACGTCAGCACATGCAATAAATGAATTCTGTGGTACTTGAACAAGAGCCAGTGGTGGAATAAGTTTCTTTTCATTTTTAACAGTTAATTTGTCCCACTGGGCATTATTGGAATCTTGGCAGCTGCAGCCACTCCCAAATTAATCAAATCAAATAGAAAACGGCGATCTCTACCTCCTACGCGTAAATAGTCACAAGCAGGAATCTTTCTGGCAGCTTTCATGGGAATAATTGGACAATATGCTGCAGTCATTGGTATGATGACAGAAAAATTAGTTATATGTTCGTTCGGTGCATATTCACCAACATGTGAAATAAATGTTGGAGTTGATGGTTGATGAATAATAGAGGAATTTGGTAACAGTAAAAAGCTGGAATTTAAAGCAACAAATCCAGCAGTTGTTAAAAAAAGTAATGTGAATATTGAATTCATTCTGTTTATCGATGATATATCAGTAGCAAAAGAACACTTTCAACAAACATTCAGGCATCAGCTTCAAGCATAAACATTTTTTATAAGAGAATATGGAACAGTACGTCCTAGCAGATATATATGATATTCTTCAATTACTGTTCTATTAGTAAACTATAATCAACCAATCTAATGTTTTTCAGAAAACAGACCAGCAGAAATATTATAATACAAAAAAGGCTGTGAACACCTTAATTTATCCACAACATGTGTCTAATTGAACAGAAGTTCATCGGCTTGTTGAACAATATTGACATAAAATGAACACCTTTTTATTTTACCTATTTATACCCTAGAGGTGTGGATCTGTGACGTTCTACACTCTTGAAAGAATTAAGATAAACTCAAGTTTAAAAAAAGCAACCTGTTGAAAAATATGTATGATAATTTTATGTTATTGAACAGAAGATAATAAAGCTGCTTTCATGGGAAAAAATAGCTAAACAGTATATGTTGTATATTTATTACGAAAATTGCTACGCATCACATTACACTTTTCGTTCATCTGAATACATATAAAATTATCTAACCATAAACTCCAGTATCTGTGTTCTAAATGATCAAAACATTTTCGAGAAGTTTTCGAAACAAGGTCAATGAGTCCGATAATAGATGGGAGGCGGTTGGTGGCGTTGATGACTTAATTACAATTATTAAACAATTAGGGCAAGATTATCGGGAGTTAGATAGCCACAACAATTGGCGAGAAGAATCATCCATATGGGGACGTCTGGCGAAAAATTCAAAATTAATTAAAAAAGATGCAAGTGCCAGAAAATGGCTTTATACCGTGTGGAGGCAGGATCGTCGTTCAATTCGAACCACATTTTTTAAAGACAAGATAGTCACAAATTTACCAGCACCATTAGATATTTCAGAAGTAAACCATTCAATATTATCAACGAATTTATCCGCAGAACCGAAAGTAACTCGTTCTCATCTTGTTAATGATAAACCACTAATAATTCACAAAAGAACTCTGTGCTTTTCAATGAGATATGATGAGTTTAAATTATTTTTTAATCATAAAGAATGGAAACTGACAAAGAACTGGTGTGGTATAATTAGTAGAAAATTAATTGAAACAAAACTAACATATTTTCAATTTTGTTAAATTGTAACTCTTTCGACACAGCGATCAAATTATTTAAAACTATTACAATGATATACGGCGATCCAAATGTAGTTCATTCCCAGAATTGTATTGAACCATTCATGCAAGTCATTGATGTTTTGCAGTTTGATATTGATAAATGTTTAAATGATGATATAATTCTAAATGATAACGATAAGATTGAACTCGATACAGTCGATGAATTGTTACATTCGTCTGATTCTAGTATTCATCAATCACCTTACAATATTGAAATGAGAAAACAAGTACCAATGATGAATGATATTCTTGATAAACGTAAAAAATTTGAAAATATATCAAATCCTAATTTTTCTAAACCACTCATGTTATTGTTTTATAAATGGTTCGCATATTTACCACTGTGGACATGCCTACTATCTGATTTTGAGGAAAGGTGAGAAGTTTTAGCATTTTTCTTGTGGCATCAAAGTTATTCACGAACTTTAAATCTTTTTAGATATGCTAAAAATAAACCCGTGACAGTAACGGATACAACTCTGGGTCGCGGCAGATTATCAAATGCCGTGGCTGAGAGTTACTTTGAAATTATAAAAGAGTGTATTCTGAAGAAGAAAACTCGTTTAAAACCATCAGATGCAATTCTTAAAATACATCTTAGTACAATGACTCGTTTGAAGGCTGGACGTTACGGGTTAACACAGACAGCAGCTCAACGGAAACCTCGTGCGTTTGATGTGCTTATGCCAGAGACATGGCGAAGAAGAAAATCTCAATCAAGGGGCAAATACTTTAGAAGAGCTGTTTCTGTAGATAAAACTGTAGGCCAAAAAAGGTATATAAGTTCTATATTTAACCATTTGTCACAAATGTTTGATAATCCTCTTTTATTGTAGAGTTCAAAGAAGCCAATCGGATGATTTGATAAACCGTACATCAACTGAATCATTCAATTGTCGAATCGAGTAAATATTCACATTTGTTGACAGATATGCGGACCATGTCGTTGAGAAAATCAGTATTTGTCATTTTAAAAGCGAAGCAAACAAGATTCTTGAAAACTGTAATTGCCATTCGATAGAGCTCGTGGAGTTCTATCTGGCACACTTATTTCCAAAGATGGCACAGCTTTAATAAAAAATGTTAGGCAAAAATATCGAAATCTGCTGCCAACTTCCCTTACGTTATTTTCCAAAGGTTTTCCATGCCGTTGAAACTTATTCACTTGTATTCACCGCACTTTATTCCTGAATACTCTTTCTTGTTTTATATGTCTTGTTACGTTTCAACGTCAAAGACGTCTCCGTCAGACAAAAGTAGAATAAATGTGAAGAATATATAATTATTTAGACTATATATATGTAATAGTACTGACGAAGAACAAGAGACAATGACTGATTATCACTTTCTTCTTCGTCAGTACTATTACATATATATAGTCCGAAAATAGTTTTTTCGAAATTTCTCTTCGCAAAGCCCGTTAAGACGCGTCATAAAAACTCCAGACGCGTTCAGACGCGCCTTTATAGATTTCTCTTGGCAAAGCGCGTTAAGACGCGTTTTTTTTATAAACAGTGGCGGACGCGTCTGACAAACGTTTTAAGAAAAAACCGCGTTCAGACTCGTCTTTTTTAACAAAAATTCCGTCTAAGCGCGTCACGGTACGACGCGCCTTGGAGAATTCTCTAGGCAAAGCGCGTTAAGACACGTTTTTTTTCGAAACCAGTGGCAGACGCGTCTGACAAACGTTTTAAGAAAAAACCGCGTTCAGACGCGTCTTTTTTAACAAAACTTCCAGACGCGTCTAAGCGCGTCACGGTACGACGCGCCTTGAAGACTTCTTTTAGTAAAGCGCGTTAAGACGCGTTTTTTTTAATAAACAGTGCTGGACGCGTCTAAACGCATCTCGGTACGACGCGTCTGACCATTTTTTTCTGAAAAAATCGCGTTTAGACGCGTCTTTTTCAAAATAAACTCGTCAAAACGCGTCTTTTCAGATGCAATGACTTTACATGGGCCCTCCGATGAAGAGAATATCTAGTGTACATCGTTTTAATCCAATGAAGTTCAGATGGAAGTTCCAGCCAATACAACCGAGCGTGGACGTCCCTCATACTCATTTTATATATATATAATATAATATCTCTTGTTCACTCTCTATCAATTCTCACTTTTCTTTTTTCGTTTGCGTGAATATATATATTCGAAATATAGAAAGCGACTGAAGCTTCAAGCGGTAACAATTTTGAAGGCACCCCTAAGCTCTTTCTTCTTTCGTTTCGGTTGTTGTTCCCGCTTCATTTTAGAAGAGGTTTAAATAAAAAAATTAAAAAAGCTCTTCGTTGACAAGATGGGCTCTCCGCACAGAGAGTGGACACTTCTCCTAAAAATGGTCAACAGTCTTATCCAAAACTCAAAAATAAATATTTCTCGAGACTAAAGTCAAAACTCACCTATATCTTGACATTTGAATCATTTTAGAATACGTTTTAAAGTAAAAAGGAGCAGCACATTTGAATTCAATAAAGAAAAAGCCGTGAATGTTTTTATTTTTTTCTATGTTATGTTCGCACGCAAGTTTTCTTGGAATTTCAATGTAATATTCGAGAGCATGGAAAACTGCGTATATCTACATACTTAACTCCCCAGTTTACGTTGAAACAGAAACACAGCAGGCAATTGAAAAGGTTCATTTCGTATAAAAATGAGGCTTTTTTGCCTCGATAGGCATTTTTCATAATCAGAAATAGTTCGTAATCGACATAGTTGATAACCTATAGAACACGCAACTCCGGATCAAAACGAGTAAAGAAATGTTTCGATGTTCCAAGGAGCGAGAAACTTTCGGAAAAAACGAAAGTCAATATTTTAAAGAACTAAATGCGCTCTAACCAAATAGTTTTTCTTTAAAATTTTGGGTAATGAAAAATGACCTTAGCGTCCCTTGTTATTTATGGACGACAGCGCAGTTGTGTTAAGAAGATTTTTTTGAAAACAGCAAAGTCGCTTTCATCATCACCTGATGTAAAACGACGCACCGATTTTATCCTACTTCTCATTGTAGCTACTGACGATGATAGGAAATCAGCAATGACTCGATTTGACCTTTTCGAAATTTAGCTGAAACAAACCGAACTGGAACACAAATTGTTTCAGAAATTTAGATCTTGTGGAACGGTCCGATAAAAACGCACTAAAATTTTCAAAAGACATTGGGCTCTAAAACGGGTGGTGTAGAATTTCAATTAACAAGGAACGTTTTATCGAAAGTTTTATGGAAAAAAATGAAAGTGATCCTATTGAAAATCTAATAGGTGCATTTTGTTGCCCATCATTCACCGAGTCCGTGGTAAAAATTTCTCGACTACCACGCCTCAGGAAGCTGAGATAAACGAGACGCAGATTTACGACTACTCTTCTGAGGAGTACACTACCACTAAAATTATCACTACAATTATTATTAAATAATCATGAAAATAAATAATTTGTTCTAAAGTTATATTTAAAGCATCTTGAAAATTTAAATTACCTCAAAACATCATCCATATAAACTTTCTAGTTTATACACTTTATCCTAAGCAATATATTTTCTACTTCTAAATATCTTTTGAAATGACTGTAATTCCCTCAGTTTAAAACGTTTTTCTGACATTCCGATCAGCACTAAGTAACACAGATACATACAATAGAAAGGTATTACGAAAACGATTATATATTTATTTCTAATAATAGAAAATGAAGAATAGTCTAGTTTTTCATTGTCACAGTTATCATGTTTTTTCCAAATGGAAAGAACTAGTGATGAGGTGAAATACCATGAAACGGAAGAAACGACCGAATTGCGTAATTTTCTCTTCTTTTTGGTACTGCTAAACGAATTATATCTTTTCTTTTATTCGTGACTGAGGTGAAGTACACGTTATTTCGTAATTTAGTACAGCAAACAAAGAACAATTATGCATTTCTTATAGGCATTAAAGAATTTCCCTTTTCTTCTTTCATTTCTGACATACCTGTTTCGGCGCATCACTAGAATGAACGAGAAAGATTGTCATACTTCAGACGTGTTTTTATTCTGTATGAGTTATCTAACATATATGAAATTCAAGGTTACTAATTTCTCTATACTTTTCGATCCCAAAACTTCATTTCATCATTGCACTTTTCCATCTCAGTTTTCGAGTTAATTCTAGATATGCTGAAGCCGTGCCTTTTCGGTGAATGAGGAAACGTGTACCTCATCTTAGAATTCCAGTAACCCCATTTCTAATCACTCTAATTTTTCCTTGAAAGAAAAATATTTCTCTTGCACTTTTGCATTTTTTCGATATCTTCTGAAAGTATTTTAAGTCTCTATCGAATGGTATATAATTATTAGTAACATATGTCTTTTCTACTTCTAAATATCTTTTAAAATGGTTGTATTGAGATCAATCTGCAGATGGAGGAAAAGTCAAACTTTTTGCTACATCATTGATCACATCACCAATAAGCGAATTGAGAGTGATGTTGACACTGTTGTTCACTTTCATACAAAAAGTATTGAACAGCATTGTTTGCCGGATTTTTCTAATAAATGATTCCTATACTTTCTATAGTCCGACACATTCTAAAGTTCCCATACCTTCTATACTCCCAACATCCTATCCTTGCTATAGTTGCCAATCTTCGCATGGTTCTCGATGTTCTTAAGAGATACATCCTATCCTTTCCAGTGTTCTAATTCCGTGGCCATATCGCCTACAAGCGAATTAGCACTCACATTGACAATGTTCCTTGCTTTAATCATCCTACAGTTCCTATAATCCGCATACTTCCTATAATTCGTGATATTCCTGTAGTTCCTTATGTATCTATGGTTCCTCATGTACTTATACTTCCTGTACTTCTGATACATCCTATAATCGTAATGTTCGTATAGTTTTTATTCTTTGTTTCACTTGACACCACTAGATATTCTGAAGCGATATCTTTTGGTGAAAATCTCAGAGTGACGAAAACTTTCCCTCATTTTAGAATCCAAGTAACATCAATTCTAATCGATCTAATTTTTTTCTTCAATGCAAAGTACTTCTCTCATAACTTTTTATTAAATCATTTAACAATAATCTTCTCGAAGTATTTTAACCCTACATCGAATAGTATATAATTGTTAGTGAAATATGTTTAACTATTAAAATGATTAAATTGTAATCCGCATGCACATGGTGGAAAAGTCAAACTTGGCACTTCATCATTGGCTGCATCATCTATAAACAAATTAACAGTCACGTTGATAATGTTTTTCCCTTTTATACGAAAACTGTTCAAGAGTATTGGTAGGCGGATTTTTGTAATAAACGGTTCCTATACTTGTCATAGTTTTTAAAGTTCGTAATGTTTAGATCGTTTTTATTCTTGGTTTGTGAAATTCAAGTTCCTAATTTTTCCATACTTCGCGACCAGAAAACTTCATTTGACATAAACTGCATTTTTCCAGGTGATTTTTCAATTATATATAGGTATTCCGAAACAGTATCTTTTGCCAGAAATCTCAGAATGAGGAAGCATCTTTCCCATTTTAGAATTCAAGTAACGTCATTTCTAATCTAATTTTTCCTTGAACGAAAAGCTTTTATTAAATCATTTGATAGCCATGTTTTGCATATCTTCTCAAAGTATTTTAATCCTCTATCATATGGTATATAATTATTAGTGGAATATGTCTATCTCTTAAAATGATTGAATTGTAATTAGCAGCCGGATGGTGAAAAAGTCAAACTTGACACTGCATCTGTATAAGCGAATTAAGAGTCACGTTGACAATGTTCTTCTCTTTTATGCAAAACATTGATTAGTATTGGTTAGCGGATTTTCGTGTGATTAATCGATGATGCGGCCTTCCTCCATTATCCCCATTATGTCGATTATGCCCATTATGCAGAATTATGTCGATTATGTCCATTATACCCAATTTGCCGGTAATGTACATTAAAGATCTCTTGTAATTATTCAGGAAATCGAATCAGTTTCCTGGGAAACTAATAGAAAGCATCAAATCAATACATTCCTCTGACGACAGACTTGGCTAATTCATGAGTCTTTGAAATTTTTACAACAGACTCAGTGAATAATGAGCAAGGTAATGCATCTTTTAGATTTTCAATAGGATCACTTTCATTTTTTTTTATCAATTGTACAAAAAAGTTGCAATGGATTCATATATACAAAGAATGGTTTTTGGGAAATACTTGAAAAACTATTCTTTTTTAATATGAAAAATTACAAGTTTTTAGTAAACATTTCCGAGATTCATTCCAAGGCTTGGTCTAATACCAAAACACACATTGTTATGTTTGATATAAAAACACTAATTTTTATCAAGGTTTGGAGAAAATCTTCAAAATAATGTACCACTTCATTAATTGAGGATGTCTTTGTGGTGGTTTGCATTTTACAACTCGAGAACAAAGAACAACCATACTACTCGATATACCGAGAAATTCTACATCTTTTATAACGAGAACTAAATTTTTGAACTGAACTTTACTGAACAGAAATTTATTTTCAAAAGTGTCTGGCTTTCAGTTAAGTCAGTAAACCTTTTATGGCTTCCAGTATTTTTTTATCATGCATGTACATTATTTTGATCTTGAATGTTACTTTATTCTCACATGTAGTATGGCAGCACTGCCCGTTGTTCTCGGTGGTATGTTTTGTGTTGGTGGCAAACTGTTATGGAATATGATTGGAAAACCTTCAACTCCCACACCATATGATGTTATTATTCGTATGAATACTCTTACTGCACTAAGCACAAATAGTTGGGAAATTTTACTTGGTGAGAATACTAAGGATGTTACACCAACAATGTCAAGATCTGAAAATAACCGTGGTGTAGTAGTTGCTGCTCTCGGTTCGTGCAATCGTGGCAAGTCATACCTACTTAATCAACTTTGTAACATTCAGCTGCCTATTGTGCATCCAAAAAAAGAATGGTATATGACTGTTTTTTGAATAACTTTCGATAGGAAAAAGCTAAAGAGCTTCAATTTTCACCGTTCGAAAGAGGAGACTTGGGGACATGTTTTCATAACCAAAAACTTTCCCAGAAGAGCTTTCTGGAACAGGTTTTCCGGAGGATCTTTGGAAAATTAGCTCGCGTGTAAAAATTTTCCAATAGGATTGTATTGATTTGTTTTCACAGACTGATAGCCCAGGGTGTCCTTTTCAAATTGAGAGTCAAGTGAGACCTTGATTTTCTACGCTTCGAGCGTTGTATCGGATTTCCTGCGAATCCCAGGACTGGCACCCAGTGACGATTGGTAGCCTTCAGGACGGAAGAACTATGCGTAATCGACCACGCTGCATCTCGTGGCAATATTTGTTTTTAGAGAACTTTTAAAATTCTACCGAAAAGCGAGTTTTACGAAAATTTGTGTTTTCAGGTTGTTTTCACCTAATATTAAAAAATTCGCTAATCACTCAGTAAACATCGGAACGGCTTCAAAATTTTCAGGATATGGTTAATTTCCTCCGCTAAACCTGATCGTACAATCGAAAAATTAGAAAAGGCACAGTTTTGGAGCTCGATTTTTCAGAAAATCTTTTGTAAAACCGTAGGGTTTTGTGAGATTTCTTTTTAGATTTCTTATAAACAGGATAAAGAATAGCTTAAATACTCCACATTCTGAAATCTTGAAGTCGTTCTGATGTTTACTGAGTGATTAGCGAGTTTTTTAAAATTAGGTGAAAACAGCCTGAAAACACAAATTTTCCTAAAACTCGCTCTTCGGTAGAATTTTAAAAGTTCTCTAAAAACAAATATTGCCACGAGATGCAGCGTGGTCGACTACGCATAGTTCATCCATCCTGAAGGCTACCAATCGTCACTGGGTGCCAGTCCTGGGATTCGCAGGAAATCGATATAACTTCCACACATGCACCGCGAAGAATCAGCATATTTATGCTGATGTAAATAATAGTTTAATTGAGTAAAGTTAGCTTTCATCCGCATAAACAATATCTCCGCTCGTCTTCATGCAACCTTCAAGGGCTTAAGTAAAGTTTTAACTGTTTTTATTCCGCAAGTAACAGCTCATATATTGCGTTTTGCCAGTAGTGAATATGATACAGACTCACAGACGGCTACACGGAGACCGCGTTTATTATGAAAGATGATCAGCCTGCCTAACTGTGCCATAACTTAAGAGTTGTGAGAGTGCTGCAAAAGCCAAAAAACATGCATCAGATACCGCCTCCAACATATCTCGAAAGCGACTTCCACTTTAAGGCCTCGTCCGATCAAAATATGATTTTAGCTTCCTCGCGACAAAATTCCCTTAAATCTACAGGACATGTTGATCATGCTGTTATGAATTTGTCAACATCCAACATACTTGTTAGAACATCCAACAAGTACTAACTTTTTGTTATTTTCAAATCGCTTCGAGTCTAAACAGTTCAAAACATCTTGAATATCTTGCCCGACTGAATGTACTTGCGAGTGTACTGGCAAGTACAATCGAAAAAGACGCATACGCCTTTCTTCCTATAATTCTCCGTGTCTTGATTATCTTGAAACAATTTGGTTAATTCAATTAGTGCTTGAGATTCTCATAGTAATTAAAACACATGGATTTTATGTGAACCACCAAGGTTTTTTCGAAAACCTGCAACTCAGTTCACTGAGCTATTTGGGCTAATCCTACAGATGTACTATATATAGAAGAATAGTTTCTGAAAGTTTGAACTTATTTCGAGTTGTGGAAAAGCGTGGATGCTCATCATATTGAGCACATGTTTTCGAAAAACCCCTAGGGGAAAATGAAAAATTATTTTTCAGCAGCTGATTTAAATCATTTTTTTATAAATCGATGGCTAAAACAGTGTAGAATTCGAATACAGACTTTTGCAAGTTTTAAATCGAAATAATCTAATAAAATACCTACTTTTCCATAGTAACATGTCAGTTTATGGTGGTCTGGAACACCATAAAATCACATGCTCTTTCATTCTAGACATCTTTTGAGAAGATCTGAAATGGAGCCGATTCTCGTTCTTATTGCACCCCGTCGTTTGTCCCAAATTATTATAAATTTTAAAACGAGTGAATATATTTATTGACAGGACTGACACTATATATGCAGTTTGATTGTGACAGTGAGAAGTTGCATACGAAAATTAAAAGGAACCGAGACCAAAATTGTTTCTGTAAAATTGATTTGTTCCCCGATCTGTATGATACCGAAATTTCCTCATTCTGGCTCAGGGGCCATTTTTTCACCCTTCAAGTGCATTGATGTGTCGTCCAAGGAAATAAACACAGCATCCATGGTTTACAACGACGAACTTGAAAGTGTCCTTAGAAAGAAGGACTACGAAAACTCACTTTTTAATAAGTCCATCCGCATTTTGGCCCACAAGCGCCTCGGTAACGTTGTTAGTATGCCAATGGCATGAGCGAAATATTTATTTGCCGTTTTTACGATATTTTTAGTAAATAAATATATATTTTCTTCGTTGATTTCTTTGTAATCAATAACAATATCAAGTGTACAAAACACATTTTGGTATACTACAGTAATGTGCTCATTTTTTGATGGTTG